ACGCAGTACCAGCATTGTATTTTGGAGATTCACTCCTGCTGTGTGCACTAGTAACTGGCTTTCCTTTTTTTTTTTCTTTAAATCATGTTCAGATATTTCTCAAGAACTTTGAAGACTGGGCTGTGCTGTAACTCTGCACACCCCTTGTGTAGATTCTGTACATTCTAAATGTCCTGCCTACATCTGGTGACTCAACGGGTAGGATGGGCATGTGAGTTTTTTAATCAATCAATAAGCCATTTAGACACAAACAACTTTCTCTTTTCTAATCCAGACAGTATCTTAATGTTCAACTTACCAAATGCCAACCAACATAACACATGCTGGTTTCAGAAGCCTGCCTCCGGTGCCTTCTGAGCCCAGGGATCCGCCCCTAATTCCGCAGCAGCTGCTGCATCCTTGCAGCAAGGAAGAGCTGCCGAGCGAGGAGACTGCTGCCCTGACTGGGGTCCCGCATGGCCGTGAAGGAGCCAGCCCCAGGTTTGGTCCCTTGCAGGTGGAAATGCTTATCCTCTCTCTTTGCAAACATTAAGCTTCACATTCCTTTGATTTATTAAAACCCACAGTAGAGGTCAGCAAAGAATTGCAGGTGCCGCGTGGAGAGTTTTGTGACTGGTTAGGATTCAGAGTGCAGAAATAGCATGTATTTCTTTGCAGTCAGGAAGGGCAACTGAACAAACAGGGTTAGTATTGGCAGCGTTGATTGCTATCAGTGACCTGCCTGGAATGCTGTCCCCAGCAGACCCTCTGACCTCTCACTGTGATGTGATTGAGGGTGAGGCACTGTGTGTGGAGCGGGCCTCTGGGGAGAAAATACATTACCTTGGCTACTACTGTGGAACAAACCTTTAGGGGCCTGACCCCACTGCCATCATCTCTACTCGGACAGCATGAAGTCATTTCCATTTCCAAAGGCGCACGTGTGCTGAATGGGAATGTGCTCCTCATCTTTAATGTATTAAGGTGACATCCGCCTTTCTGCCGCAATCTAAAATTTATGCAGCTGCACAGCAGGTTTTGTGATGCATCACTTTCAGGTGTGGGGGCTGTAAAATCAGACACTTTATGTTAAAATAGGGAACTCTCTCAAACCCTTCCCCAGATATGGGAGAGATTGTTGTGTAAGACCGACAGTTAACATGTTATATAAAGAAATAAGCTGGTCTTGAAAAACATAGAGAAAAGATATTTGTGGCTTCAACAATGTGTACCTTCCTGTTGACTTTATGCTCATGTTTCTTTTGAAAAACAATATATACAGCATGCATGATATACTCCAACAGTGGGCTGCTGAGTTCCAGACATTTTTATTATACATAGCAATTTTAAGGGTAAATTTTTCTAAGGAAAGTATTTTCAATGGTAGACAGTGAAGGTGATTATAGTCAGAGACAAATGGAAGTTGGGGCGTGGTTATTTTACAGAATTTAGATCAACTGAGCTGCATTTTAGCTTATCAATTTCCAAAAAGGTGTTTTATAAATTGGTGTTGAGAGCTGTGTCTAAAAGTAACATCATAAAAAAGGAGAAAGAGGAAGAGGAGGAGGTAGGAGAAGGAAGGAAGAGATAGGAGGAGGAGGGGGAACATGTTACATCACTGGTTATGTATCACCCTTTACTAAGGATACCCATTTTATTTATATTGGAATGCTTGGGAAGTCCACAACAATCATATGGTCTATTGCCACTAGCTGTCCAAAGAAAACTTTCTCACCTGCTTCATCATGGTAGAATCAGTTGTGGTTGGTATCACCCTAGATACATGCTAGAGTCTGCAGGCTGCAGAATAAACACCAAATTCCACAAAGGTGGGGAGGAGAACTGATAAGTAGAGTCATACTCAGCCTGGAGGTGGCTACAGCTTGGGCTTGAGGCAGCTGTGTGACTTCAAGTGTCTCAGCACCTCTGGCCTTTTTGCACGAATATCCCTCTCACAGGGGTTTTTGTCATTATTAACTGGTATCTAGCAAGTGCCTGTTACATGGGGAGCATCTCTCCTGTGTTTATTTCCTTCATCCCTTCTTGGAATGCTTGTGGAATCCTGTATTGATGCTATAATGTGTCAACTTGATGTTGGATGGAGACCCACCTGCTGTTTTCATATCTGAATACATTTCTATTGACAGAACTTGGCTCTCATGACTCTTGGCTTCCCATGTTCCTTGACCTGTAAGAACTTCAGCCCAAAGCTGCATTTAAAAAAAAAAAATGCCAATCCTGTGCCAAAGGATTTCAGAATAAGAAAAGCTGTGGTCACCAGGTGCCTACCTGAAGCTTTCAGACTCCACTACCACTGGAAAAGAGGTGAAATATTTTAGGTGCTTCTAAGACAGTTACACATCATACACTTTACAGTAATGCAAATATATGATGCTTTTCAACTAACTGACTTCAAATAGACCTTTGAAGGATTATAGAGTTATTTGGTCATAACTAGAGAGGTAGGAATTCTGTTGATGAGTTTCATTAGTGGATTTTCTTATATTCTTAAAGTATTTTCTAGGAGCATGTTTTGTTAGCAACCTTTGGTTAATTTCATGTTTGAATATGCTTATAGGAAAATAAACGCCTGAGTGATGAGACTCCAAAGAGAGTGTGACACTATTGCAGAAATCACCAAAACACTCAGGAGGGGAAGGGAAAGTTAAGCTTTTTCTTTCTAAACAGCTTTTTCTAAAGTTACTCACTTTACCTGGGCTCTGACACACAGAGCAAATGCCACAAGGACTCTCAAAGCAGATGCTGCTAAGAGAGTGGAAGAGGGAGGATGACTGGGCAGAATATATTAAAAGAGGTGGACACCTAAGAGAGGGCAGCACAGGCAGGGTAATTAAGAGGGACATGGCCTATATTTAGGACTCCGTCCTCTACCCCAATGCAAAACTGTGATGCGGCAGCTAAAACTAGGTGACTACTGCCAGAAGCTACTGGGAAAGAGCAGAGACCTGCATTCATAAATGTTGCTGCTATCCATCTCCTGATGCTGTCTACTATCAGATCAGCAAGGGTTAAGGGTCCTTGACACCTACTCTGGCTTGTAGATGGCAGCCACTTGCCACCACTCCTGAATGTCTGCCTCCTTCTCTGCTGCCCACCAGCCCCCAGCAGGTGCCCATATTTTTTTTTCTCTGCAGCATCTTGCTTCAGAACCAGTCACCCTACTCCCTCTAGGCAGACTGCTCTGCAGTCAAAGGCTTTAGCCAGGAGCACTGCTTGCTTCTCTCTTAAAAAGCAAGAAACAAAACAAAACAAAACATGCTAATTAACTTAAGATCTCAGAAGGTGAAACTCCCCAGGAGGGGGCTGGCAGAGTGGAAGCAGACTCGAATACCCAGGAGTGTGTGTGAGGTATGTAGACTCACACAAAAGACTAAAATACAGGTTACATGCAGCCGGCTGAAATAAACCAGCTGCCACTGTACATCTATATCTAGCACAACGGCAGAGACAGCTAAAGCTTATCCAGGGCCTCTCTATGTTAGGAGACTTGAGGGCTGCAGTGAATCACTGGAATAAGTACCTGACCCTCTCGGGCCAGCCAATTCTCAGTCAGCCTTAGTGAGTTTAGACTTGAAAGCCTAGAATGTATGAGTTGGGTGGATCTCTAAAGTAGCTTAGACTTGACAGATTAAACACCAAAAATCGTACCCGACTTTCTCTTCTGCGGTTCTTTCCTCTGCCAGGAAGAGTTGGGTACCAGAATCACGGTGTGTGTGTGTGTGTGTGTATGTGTGTGTGTGTTTTAAGGTTGGAAAGGATCATGCAGAATAACCCTCATCCCACCCTCTTCTCTGTCCGCAGTTCTATTTGAAAACTTACCCATTTACCCTTAGTGTGCCTTTTAAAGGGATCAGTAAGTTGGACGTCAAGTAGGGTGTTACCAATATCAAACAAAAGGCCAAATGCTTGTTTTAAAAGTCTCAGATCTACTACAAATTTCTGCAGTATCTCTAGGGAATTGGAGGGACTCCAAGCGTGTGAAAACGCTGCACCCACGTGCGCTACGGCGTGCCCACTCTGGTATCTGGGCACTTCCTGAAGAAAGCCCACATATTCCTGGGTATATCTGTTACCTATGAATCTGACCAGGTTATTTGTTTTCTGTCTGCCTCAGCGCGAGAAGTCTCCAAGCCGAGCTTTCTTTCCCGGGAGAGGAGAGGAGACCACACCCAGCGCTCACAGCTGCTTCTCTCAAAAATCATCAGCCACCTGCACGACTTGTACAAACCATCAGGTTGGGGTACCACACAGGTGTAAAAAAGAAGAGAGGAGGCTTTGGATGTGATGGAAGCGGCGATGTGAAGCAGGGATGTAGTTTATGGAGGATTCAGGCAGCCTAAGTTCCCCTGCCGACTGCCGCCGCCTTTGCTCTGCAATTTCTTCTTCCCCTGGTTAGTTTAAAACTCCTTGCTGGTCTCTTCCACAACCACCTACACCCTACACACAAAGCACTTTGACTTCATTCCCCACAAAGAAAGAAATTTTAGGAAGAGTACCATAATAACTGCTGTAAAGGTTTAGAAATGCTGGTGAACACCCACTGTGCTGAGGTCTTAGCCGAGTGTGTGAGTGTGTGTGTGAGTGTGTGTGTGTGTGTGAGCGCTGGGGCAGGGCCCCCAGGTGTTCAGAAGCAAAGCATTAAAAAAAAGAAAGAAAGAAAAAATAAGAGAAGAAAACCTAAGTGAGAGGAAGAGGGATGAATTCGAGTCAGAAATAGCTCTTATAAAGAAATGTAAAACTTTGCTTCATAAATGTTGCATGGATGCAACATTACTGTACCCGGGACACACACAGCAAGGCCACCATAAACAGAGCCAGACGCTAAAGGTGGGGGTCCCTGGTGAGGAGCGCGCTCGGGGGTCAGGGTGTCTTTGAGGTGCAGGGTATGAAAAACTGATGTGTCAGTGGAGAGCGAGAACCTGTTATTGGGAACATTTGCAGATCCGAGTGATGTGAGCTTCAGGCATTAATAGGCGGGATGGGCCGGGGGAGCGGGAGAGGAAAGGAAATGAGTCGGGGGTCAGAGGGGTCTGGGAGAAAGGCGAGGGCCTGGGAGGAGAGCAGCCAGGATGGGAGGCACAGCTCGCTAGCCGCCCGTCGCTCGCCCCCGCCTTCCCTTTTGCGCAGAATCCTCCCCTTGGCTGCAGCAGTGCGCTGCCCCCACTGGCCGCGCGCGATGATGGATAGCAGGCTGCGTCAGAATCCTCCCGGCGTATAAATAGAGGTGGCCGGCCGGAGCCGAGCCGCACACAGCCATCCATCCTCCCCTCTCCCTCTTCTCCCGGTCCTTCCTTCTCTCTAGGCCCCTCATCCCCGCAGCCGGCCGGAGGGGCGCCGCGGCCGCCAGCATGAGTTCGTTCAGCTACGAGCCGTACTACTCGACTTCCTACAAGCGGCGCTACGTGGAGACGCCCCGGGTGCACATCTCCAGCGTGCGCAGCGGCTACAGCTCCGCGCGCTCCGCGTACTCCAGCTACTCGGCGCCCGTGTCCTCCTCGCTGTCCGTGCGCCGCAGCTACTCCTCCAGCTCCGGCTCCTTGATGCCCAGCCTGGAGAACCTCGACCTCAGCCAGGTAGCCGCCATCAGCAACGACCTCAAGTCCATCCGCACGCAGGAGAAGGCGCAGCTCCAGGACCTCAACGATCGCTTCGCCAGCTTCATCGAGCGCGTGCACGAGCTGGAACAGCAGAACAAGGTCCTGGAAGCCGAGCTGCTGGTGCTGCGCCAGAAGCACTCGGAACCGTCCCGCTTCCGCGCCCTCTACGAGCAGGAGATCCGCGACCTGCGGCTGGCGGCCGAGGACGCCACCAACGAGAAGCAGGCGCTGCAGGGCGAGCGCGAGGGGCTGGAGGACACACTGCGCAACCTGCAGGCGCGCTACGAGGAGGAGGTGCTGAGCCGCGAGGACGCCGAGGGCCGGCTGATGGAAGCGCGCAAAGGCGCCGATGAGGCCGCGCTCGCCCGCGCCGAGCTGGAGAAGCGCATCGACAGCCTGATGGACGAGATCGCCTTCCTGAAGAAAGTGCACGAAGAGGAGATCGCCGAGCTGCAGGCTCAGATCCAGTACGCGCAGATCTCCGTGGAGATGGACGTGTCCTCCAAGCCCGACCTCTCCGCCGCGCTCAAGGACATCCGCGCTCAGTACGAGAAGCTGGCCGCCAAGAACATGCAGAACGCCGAAGAGTGGTTCAAGAGCCGCTTCACCGTGCTCACCGAGAGCGCAGCCAAAAACACCGACGCCGTGCGCGCCGCCAAGGACGAGGTGTCCGAGAGCCGCCGCCTGCTCAAGGCCAAGACCCTGGAGATCGAAGCTTGCCGGGGGATGAACGAAGCGCTGGAGAAGCAGCTGCAGGAACTGGAAGACAAGCAGAACGCCGACATCAGTGCCATGCAGGTATGGCAAGGTCTGAACTCCAGTGGGGGAGGGGGAGGCTGCAAAATCGGGGGGAGGG